CCAAACCATTCTATGATTCTATGAATCTGAAATTCATTTGGAACTGCATCAATGAAGAGAGAGCAGAGAGAACTGGGGCCATTTGTTGTTGAGGACATGGCTTTTGTTGATCCCAGAAAACACTTCTAGAAGGAAGTAAATACTAAGTTTACAAATCCCTGCCCTATTTCCACATCCTGCAACTACAAAAAAAATGCAGTATATTATTGGCCAAGATGTATACAGATGCTTTCTCTTCCAACACTACTTTAACTTTAGAGAACTTTGAGATAACCACTGAATTTGCTTACCCTAACTGAATCCTACAAGCAAACCATTTTATTAGAATTACCTCCTCTTCTAGGTAATGCTGTTTTGTCCAATTAATACTTTGTCAAACTATCCAAACCATCATTGGATACTGATAGATCCTATTTTAAAAAGGGACGTTTACACTACAATAGAAACCTTAAACACAGCTCACCAAATTGTGCACAATCAACATTCATTGTAGCTTCGCATTGCATCCCACTACTCCTCTCAGTTCTTGGCTGATCTTCTCACTGATTTCATATCCCACTATCTCCTCACTAGTCAGCTGCTGGGATACTTTCCCTTAAATGTAAGACAATTAACTACTCAGTAAGTCATCTTCCCCTTTTCTTCCACATATTGTCCAATGGATTAGTACAATAGTGCAGCAATTGCCACAGAATAGGTCCAGCTAAAAAACATCTCAGAAAAACAAAATGCAAAAACATTTTAATGGTTTCTCCTCAGCCTTATCAGTTTCCTGACCAGCTTCACCTACAGGCAGACAAACAGCAGTACCGGTACAACTAAGGAGGAGGATGCCTTACCAGACTGCTGGAAGGAAAAAAAAAACAACAAACAAAACAAAACCCCAAAAAACCCCAAACCTGGACAAATTACATCTTTTGCTTCCTTATTTTAATGAAACATAAATCTCATGTCAGTTATATGTGACATGCAGTGTACTCCAGTAAAAAAAAAAAAGTGAATACCACAATGCTTCCTCCTTGTTATTAACTTCCAAGCTGTATGGTTTTCCTTCCAGGATCAATGATGAGCAATACTTCAGATTTCATTAGACCATTTTAGAATTTTAACGTTCCTACTAACTGATTCAGGAACCGCTTCAAGTTATAAAAGACTATTAGGCTAGAAAAGTGGAGCAGCTGAAAGTCAGAAGAAAGCCTCAAAAGCTATGTCAATGCCTCAGTCCTGTGTCTCTCTGAGTATGCCTACCTTTTGGCTTGTTTTAACATTAATCTGACAGCTTACACAGTAGTATTTAAGGATATGATCCAACAGAACACATACAGTGTATTTTAAACTCAACTGCATAAGGCTTAAATAGAGAGACAGTGGGAGAAAACAGTATGCAACCTAGGGATTACAGACCAGGTCTCTTCACTGTTCATTTGGGTTTTTTTTTAAATACAACTTCCTCATCTTTCACAATGTGAATTAAAAAGTATCGCTATGCCACTGTATGAACTACAGCGGAATACCAAAGTCAAATGAACCTCAAGCCACACATAGAAAGTCAGCCTCGAGAGTGAGAGTTTCACTGGACAATACAACTGAGAAATCAGTGCAGTATTTGAATTAACTTTGAATTAACACACTACATATACAAACTTCAAGTGTAAAAGTGGCATGCTATTATATTAACCTCTCTGATGCTTATATGTATCACTTAATGGTTTGTCACAAACACTTACTGATATAGGGAACCATGCCAGGATCCAGCGTTGTGATCATGGTCTCCACTGAATGTTTGGTTTTATCAAGAACAGACTTCACCATGGGATTTTCAGCTACACCCTAAATTTAAGCAAATAGATTTCCATATTATCCTTGTTTTTTTTCCAAGAAACTCAGTGTTACAGTTAAAAAAACAAACAAAAAAATTAAGCTGCTTTGTGTTTTTCTTACCACATTTACACTTTATAACACCCATTGTATCTCACTCCTTAGCACAAACACCACAGGATATGACTATGAGTGCATGGCTTTTCAGTTACAACATTAAGTTCAAATATCATGTTTACCATCCTCCTCTGCATTAATGCAGAAACAGCCCCATCAGTGATGGTGGGAAACACATTTGATCTAGTCCTATTCTAGTCCTATTCTGGGACAAGAAGCCTTGAGCATTTAACAGTCATAGATTCCCAATGCTAATTATAGTCGTCATTAGCCTAGGTAGCTAGATTTAGGCTGTGATAGCTCAAGCTCAATAGTCTCTCTTTTCTAACCTTCTTAAAGACAATAGGATCTATTTCTGAATAACCCATTAGTAACAAATATTTCTAGAGTCATTGAGCTGAAAGTATTCAATTTATAAATAGATTCTAAACATTGGTTGAAAATGTTCTACATTCTCCAGTCAAATCATAGGTGGAGCTGCTGACAGATCTAAAAGTTCATATAAACACTGTCCTGTGTCTTGCAAATAGTCTTAACGAACACGTGTACCTCGTCAGAGGTTTAGTAAAATTCAAATAAGACCACAGGGTTAAAGAGGTAAGTACCAATGCTGAATCACTGAGAGATAAAGGACTAGAAACTATTTTACAGAAACCTTTTATAAAACTTCCTCAGTAACCAGACTACTTTCAGTCTAATATTAAAACTGCATATGCTTGTGCTTGTTTCACTAAATGACATGCATGACATGGGACAGCACTAATCACACATATTTTTCTGCAAAGTGCTTGCTTAATACACCTACACAGTACTTCAGAGAACTGCAGACTCAGAGAAGTTTTAATAATCTCAGAAATACTTTTGCTCCGCTCCATAAATCACAGAATGCTTTCGGTTGGAAGGGACCTTAAAGATCACCTAGTTCCAACTCTCCTGCTATGGGTAGGGATAACTTCCACTAGATCAGGTTGCCCAAAGTCCCATCCAACTTTTGAATGCTTTATATTTCTTTGTAGCAAGTTTAATAGAGGAAGAAAAAAGCCCACACTTCCACAACTACTGAGATACTGTATAGCTACTAGTAATTATTATCTTACCCCATGCCTCATGCAAAAATAGTTCACTAGTGGGTTCAGGAACTCTCTGAACACTAAGCCTGACTGTAGAATTTGGTAAAGAAAACAAAACAATTACTCACTCTAGCACAATTAAGCTTTTTCAAGACAGAGCCCACTGTAGCCACCTGTTTCTCATGGATATAACACAAGACTTCTCTGAATGGTAGTATTCACTGAGTAATATACTCCTGTGACTACTCATGTACCCACAAGATGCTATCAAGAACAGGGAATTTCATATTCCTCCTTCAGCACTCTCACAATTTGAAGTTTGTCTGGTTTTTTGACAAAAACTGGTTGAACGGTATAAAACATTTTAAGTAGGAATTTCCGGTTCTAGCACCTTTCCAGTAATGCTAAGCCAAGCAGTACTTCTCCAACCAGCAGCCTCGTGGCCTAACTAACACAAAGTCATTACACATCTCCTGCAGACAAACAGGTTCCTGAGCAGCAAGAGCTGCTTCTCCTACTTGTGGAAGATACCTTTATGTTTATCAACCTAGCACAAGCCGGGAGAAATAATACAAAGTTTTACACCAACGCAAAACCCAAGTTACCAAAACACTGTGAACCATAATGGAGTTAAGTTTGGAATTTCTACCGCATTAGTTCTAAGCCAACATAAATCTAAACTGTTCAGATGGAGAATCGTCCACTTCGGCACAGCGCAAACACAGAGCTTATGAAAATTTAGGTCCTGGCTGCCTTCGCTGCTCAGGCAAATACACAAGCTGTCAGATGTGACTGCAATAGCAGGCAACTTTGCCGCTGATACATTCTGTAGAAACCAATCTTGCAACTGCTATGAAACTGATCAGCCACCTTTGACAGAACAAAGGAACTGAAACAGTCTCATTTGATTCTAGACTATTAATTTGTCAATTTTAGATTGTCACAGTCTTGGATATTATCTAGCTTGTAAGAAATCTGGAAGAAAGGCATATGATTTCTTAACAACATCAGAGGAAAAAGGGTAGTTTGAACTACTTCCAGAACAGAAATAAAGATCACTGTTGCAGCTGCTGTGTAAGCTCTTCAACAGGGAATCCAGGATGCATTTCTGTAATAATTAACCAGTTAGACTCCCAGATTCTGGCTGATCTTTAAAAAAAGACAGTCTGATGTGTGCTTATAGTGGATTCAGTATAATGATTCCTCATTCTTCCACCTAGGAAATCTCAAAAAGAGGTCACTGAACACATAGAGCACGTGGAACGCTTAACATTTAAATCAAAATCTGTATTTTATTGTTGAAGTCAATGATACAGACTTTCTTTATAAATAGAAACAGGACACCTTATGGATCCTACTGGTATAAAGGCAATAGTAATATGGGTGAGATTGGCTTTTCAACTGATTTGCAATTGCAAGCTCTGGTACTTTCAAAAGGGCTCCACAATCATGTTACAAGAAAAATGTTCTCTTCTGGAACATTACCATCTATTGCAAATATTAAGAGGAATACGATGACTGAGAGGAGGACATTATTATTTAAAGGAAGAAAAGAGATACGTTTTTATGATCATGAGAAGACATGTCTCCTCAGAAAGGGCAGCATGCTCTTACTGTACTGATGGCCGATTAATATTGCTTTTTAAGACTGTATCACTGTTAAGATGGGTATTCCTGGAGTAAGGGAGGGCTCAGTCTACTGTCTCACACAGCTTTTTCTCATGGCTTTTCATGTTCAAAAGGGCCTGAAAGTCCCTCCAGAACTCTAATCCCATTGGGACATCAATCTGCTTGACTTTTCCTTCCCAACAGTACAGAAAACAGTGTTGCTCTTGAAGACAGTTCAGTGTTCATGCACAGTCCTTAAATCTTCTTGCCACAATCTTCATGCTGCTACTTGTAGGTAGCATTTGTCACAGCTCCAAAAAGATTACAGGCTAATGAAATTCTCCTAGTTGATGTTGCTGTTTATTTCCTTTGTATGATTAGATCGTGCCACAAGGAGTATCTGTTCTGCACTATATACTCCATGCCTTCTAGCAGAACAGAAAAATCTTACAAAACATTATAAACACTTCTTAGGTAATCTGTACTTTGGTGGAAAAAATATGTACTTGTGTCTCCTTGAAGAGACTTGTTTGTTATCGAACAGGCAAGACTTGCATTCCATAGAAATGAAACTCAGTTCATTAGGAAATGATAAAGAAATGGGATATGCAAAGAATTCTGCTGAGGTAAATCAGACTATTTTTTTTCTGCACCCAGTTGCTGTGAAGTAAATGTTAGCTTTCAGGTCTTAAATAGGTTCTAAAGCTTCACCTGATTTAAGAACATGTGACAGAACCTCAGGTATGCATATCTTCCTGTCACAAACACTAAAAATAATCTAGAACACCTGCATTTGTGCAGTCTTACTCTTCTATACAGAGGCAGAGCACAGTTTCAGCAAAAACCTTGCACACAAGACTGAAGAAAAGACAGGATTTATATCAACATGCATTTAAAAAATAAAATATGCATTATTAAAGTCAGTAAAAAAAGGTAATTCCTCATGAAACACTGACAGACAAAATCCCATACCTTTATAAACCCCCACAGCCCTCCAGCAGGTGCTCCACCTTGGGCAGTAGATATTCTGGGGTCTTCACGTTCCTCAGGAAAAGTGATTGTAGAACCTGTTCCAGGAGCCAAATGTGATGAGGAAGTTGCTTGTTGAGTAATAGGATCTGCCAAAACACCTAGTAAGAGGGAAGAATAAAACACAAGTGTTCATTTATTTTACTGTATTTAATCTGCTATATTGTAACAACATGCAATTGTTTAACAGGAAAATGAGCAGGAAGAATAGTAAAATACTGGGCTGATTCACCTCATTTCTTGAAGGCCCCAGAACAATTCTGCTTGTTAAAGGTTAGCAGATATAACTACTGTAAAGGAGCTCAACAATATCTGCTAATAGAACCAAGACTGCCTGTACATTGTGTATCAAATTAAACAATTATTTTTTTCTTAGCAAGTTAGTTTAACAGTGGTGCTTTTTATTGTATTGAAATTTCCATAATAAGCCCTCAATAGAGGAAAAAGAGGAATGGGTGTTGCTCTCTGAACAAAGAGACAGGAATGTTCTCATACATAATAAAAGAGAGAGAAGTAGGAAATTTTCTAACCCTCAGTGCTGGAAATTAGTAGCAATAGAAAAAGGAGCAAGCAGATGAACAGCTTTGCAGATTTTAAATGAAAACAAAACAAACCCAAACAGTAGAAAACTTAAGACATGAGCCCTTGTCCCAATACTCAAGCCTATTTTAACCAATGTTCCAAAACTAGCCTTCATCAAGAGTTATTTTATTCCACACTGCATAATTGATATGACATTTAGACAGACTACTTGAAACAGGTAACACTGTAATAGTAAAAGCCGGGCCCAATTGCAGGTGAAGAGCCAGGTTCCCATTCCACCAGTAGAAAATGACATCAGTTCAGCAACTACAGTGACTGCTTGCAAGGAACATATATATTTGTAGCTGTCCTAATGCAATTTAATGGTGGGAAACAAGGAAATAGAAGCTGGTGTCCTGTGATGGATAGCTTGTTATAGATAGCTTTTCAGAATAAAAAAAAAAGAAAATTGAGATATGTGATGATATCACATCATTCTGTGGAAATATAACGGCTGAAGTTGACCCTCTGATCTAAAGAAAAGATATGTATATATGTTCATCTGGGCTTTCCTGTGCAAGTTAACAAAAAATAAAGCTCTCAAACAAAGATTCTTCTGTGACCCTAAATGCTAGCAAAACTCTATGAAAGAGGACTCTCTGTCCTAGACCACGACTGTATTTTAAAGGCTACTCTCCCTGAGTGCAGCTCAGCTTCATTAATTAAGTGCACCCAGAATAATAAAGAAGCTGAAAATGCAGAACTTTAGCAGAGTGGTGGAAAAAGCCACCTAGGACATGCCCTCATCCTGTCTCACAAACACAAAACCATATAAACAAAAAGTTACCCGTGACTGGAGGTGCAGAAAACGATGGCATCAGTGGGCTCTGCGGTGCTCGACCAGCATGACCTCTGGTAATGTCATAGGTTGAAGACATGGAAAATCCTGAAATGGGAGGACAAGTGGGAGGAGCAGGAAGACCAGGGCCAGTAGCAGAGCTTAATGGAGGAGCTGTAGAGAACTGGGACACAGAGGTACTAAAAGCTGAAGGGGCAACAGAAGGTGGGGCAGGAGTTAGAGGTGGTGCAACAGCAGAAACTGTTGCAGAAGGCACAAGTGGAAGAGAAGCTGAAGTCACAGGAGAAGGAAGTGGAGACACTCCAGCTGGCAAGGGTGGTGAGTACGCAGGAGAAGATGTCATGCTTGGTGTAGCGAGGGGACTTGACAAAGCTAGGAAAAAAGAGAAAAAAGGAATTTTAGAAATGCTGAGCCTTAATCTCAGAGATGCAGTTATACAATTGTTCAGATATTTTACAAATCAGTTTTGATCTGGTCTGCTTTTTTCCCTTCAAAATGAATCTTAGTTCTGTTTGAGTTTGTATACAACACCAATTGCATTCAAGTTTTGGTGACAGTATCTTGTAAACCACATCTCCTTTTTTGCATGACCCTATTTGTCATAAGCTTAAAAAGATAAATTAACATTTGACCACTGAATTTATAGCAGCTAAAGTCTGCCTCAGGAATTTCTAGCTAGTACTGTTCTTTCTGAGTGATTGAATAATGACGATGCAGAAAGTGCCTACCTTTAAGAATAACACATACACTCGTAGTATCAGGGAAGGTGGGCGCTACTTCAGAGGTATAATTCCATGAGATGGGCTGAGCACCAGCCAGCCCTCTCTTCCCTGGCACCCAGCCTCCTAATCCCTCTGCTTACTCTGTTTCACTCTGGCTCTCAGTTAATCCTTGGATAAGGATTTTTTGCTAAAGTTTAGCCAGAAAATTAAGCCAGAAAAACAGAAATAACCATTTTTATAGCAGTAAGCTATTGGATCAGCTCAAGCATCTCACTGGCCTCAGCCTAAATATCAGTAACACTCAAATGATATGCCAAGGTGCACTAATGCAGTGGTCTCCAAACTTGTATCATGCACACTTACCAGTAAAAACTTTTGAGCATGCACCCCCACCAACACAAGTAAATTTTTTTATTTATAAGTTATCTACATGTACCACTGTACTAGCATATTATGTGCATCATAAAACATAAGCAACAGCTATTTAAGAAGGGTGAGATAAAGATGAAAAATTAATTTTAAAAATTTTTGATTTTTTTTTTTTACTTACAGTAGAAAAATTTTTCTGCTCTCACTGAAAATTATTT